CGGCCATTACCATGCGAGGAGCCGGTTGTACCATTAATGATTTGTGGGATCGGGATGTCGACCAAAAGGTGGCGCGGACCAAGACACGGCCGCTGGCGGGAGGTGATGTGACCGTGAGTCAGGCCATTGGCTTTTTGGCGGCACAATTGTCCGTCGGATTGGGAGTTTTGGTCAGTTTGCCACACACGTGGTATTGCTTTCAATGGGGCACGGCATCCTTGCCTCTGGTAGCCATGTATCCCTTGACCAAACGATTCTTGCCGTGGCCACAAATGTTCCTCGGTGTAACCATTAACTGGGGCGCCTGGATGGGATGGGCAGCCACGCATGGGAGCATGGATTGGTCCATTGTCCCGTTCCTTTATGGATCGGGAGTGACTTGGACGCTGGTCTATGATACCATTTATGCCCATCAGGACAAGGCAGATGATACCAAGTTGGGGTTGCATTCCACGGCATTGGCATTTGGTGACAATGATCAGCAACAAAAGATGGTGCTTCATGGACTGGCAGCACTGACATGGCTCCAATGGATGGCGGTGGGATACAATGCGAGTGACTTTTTGGCCGTGCCCTACTATCAACTTGGCGTCACCACGGCCTATGCACATTTAGTGTGGCAAATCCATACCGCAGACTTTGACAATCCACATAATCTGGCGGCACGATTTAGGAGCAATTCCGCTGTGGGAGCCTTGATTTTTGGTTCCATTGCGGCTGGTGGCTACTTTCAATAACAAATAATAGAGAGCAGTACTCAGGTTAAGCATGGTTCCAACGTTCGCAGTTGATGGCGATTGACTAGCTATGCATTTTCTGAGGGCCGGTGAACCGATGCATCAAGGTATTACAAGAGCCCAAAACATGGATCATTCCTCGAGGAACTGTCAATGCAGCGGGTACAGCGTGGTGGTTGATGCTGGATAGTGCTACTGCGGCTATTAATTCATCTTCGAGATTGAGATGGCAAACAATCTTCGAGAAGTGATCCCATGAGCAGCACTCCAAGAAAAGAAACGGCACGAGTATAATCTTAATAGCGGTGTTCAAAGGTTGGTTGTTGTGCTTTCAAACCGTGGGTGTTGAGTTTTGTCTGGTTGAATCATTCAATATTGTAACGAGACAGCATGGAGTCGAGTCTGTAGCTGCTCTGTTTTATGCGTCTTGGCATATTTGATTCTGATCACTCCTTTCTTTGCTTTCATTCCAAGAATCCCCCACTTTCGTGCTTTCAAGTTTCCAGTGCTTCTAACGTGTGTGCCACCACAGGGACACGGAAAGCCAGCCACTGTCACAACCCGTATGTCGGTGGGTACCTCCTTGCCTCCTCCGAAATCCTTCATGTCAAAATTTTTGGCAATACGATTGCAAACTTCATTGGCTTCTGCCTCGGGCAGAGTTTCAATTTTAGTTGGAATATCTTCTTCCACCAATGCCTTGAATGCAGCTTGCAAATCCTTCAAAACCTGAGGGCGTTCATCGGCCACAATGCTTCCTTCATATTCTACATATGGCCCGTCCAGGAAATGGTAGCCTTTGGTCGGTCTCATGAGCTTGCCGCACTTGGCCATGGCCGAATCGACGACATGACCCGCCGTGTGACATTCCGAAAGCAATCGTCGCGTATCGGCATCCACCGCCACACGGACGGGTGTTCCCACGGCTGGCAAACAAACCAATGCATTGGTAGTCTTGCCGCGATGGCTGGCAACCCCCGTGGCACGGTTGACGGTGACCTTGTCCACAGCAATGACCACCTCGCTATTATTGGTTGGTTGACAGTAGGTAATGGTTCCTTTATCGGTGGGTTGTCCGCCTCCTTGGGCGTGCATCACAGTTCGGTCCAAGAAGACTTCAACAGTATCATCATCGCCATCTTTCGTAATGCCCACAATCTTGGAAGAGTTGCATTCCAGCTCGAAATTACCCTCGTAAGAGTAGTAGATCATTTCTGTTGGAGGCAATGCTGCATCGTCGTTTTTTTCTTCTGCCATTGTGGGATATCTATTGAAAAACAATTGCTCAGCAGCGAAATGGGGCGGATTAACAGTACCGGTAGACTCCAAGTGGATGAGGAACAAGGGTGGTCTGCCTAGTTGGATTGAAAGCGGCGGTACTTTAGAATGACACCATGGCCAAGCATGGCTTTGTTTCTTCAGGAGAAAAAAGAATTCAGGACAGCTGCAATGTGTTTTTTTTAATAAGGCTAAGGATAAATGATGATATCATCAGTCACCATTTCCAACAATGTGGTCCCTGCATACAGCTGTCCAGCCACTTGGCTGTTGGGAGGGAGCGCACTGACGATGTCGTCGAAGGCTACATGTACCAAGAGGTAAGGGTGAACAGAACTGGCTGTCTCCCGGTTATTAGCTGGCAGCTGGTACTTTGCTTGTCGAACATGGCAGCCAGCCACACATGAGCACAGCTATGGCGTACATAACCATTCATTGGCCTGGTTTGAAAAGATGGTTAGCTTTGAAGTTCTTGTCGCTCACTCGATGTGCGTGAGTTGGAGATTGGGAGATGCCTTGCTCTCGGCAGTTCTTTTGATGCTCCACTAACCGGCCGCCAAACTGTACATCCAGGCAATGGAACCGGTACACGGCTGACTCTAGAGGCAAGTTAATTAAGCTAAAAGATAGGAGAGACTTGTCGGGATGTGCACCTGGAGTGTGCTCAAAATAGCTGGACCTGTGAAGGCATTCTAGCTATGCACAATACGACTGTAGCATTGCTTGACTGGCCTGGGCTGGCATCGGTCCAAGTCCGTTGCAGGCAACAAATTCGTTGAAAACCACAAAGGTACAAGGCCGTTGCCTCTTTAGCGGTCTTGGATGCTACATGTACCGGCTTGAGCTCAGCTTGCTGGCTTGGTGGTTACTCTTTGGATTTTTGTTTAGTAAATTTAATATTACCGAGTATGCTCTTCTTCGATGATTCGCGGTTACCAATGAACAGTCACCGTGAATGTACTATGAATTCAACTGTATCCGTGAAATGGTCGCCGTGGGACATAGGCTTCTTTGCATGTCTGCTGGGACTGCATGGTTAACAGATAGGCATGCACCTTTAAACCTTTCTGCTTCCTCACCGGAGTAAAAGATGCCCAGCAGCATACGCTGTAGAAAACAACATACAGTGGTCACAGAGATTCAATAAGCTCCACAGAAACCATCGGAAAGATTTAACACATAGTCGAGCGTAAGCGCTTCAAGAATTATCAAGATCTATCAAAGGAAAGCATGTTCTAATGCCTAATTGATTGCCAGGGTTTATTTGGCGAATAAGCCAGCAGCAATATAATACTACCTTAACCAGAGTACTATGAAGGAGCCGAATATCAAAGCCTGTTCAACTTACTTCTCTTAAGAGCCAGCTGTTCGCGTTAGATATCCAGTTCCCCGCTCTCACCATCGACCGCTGAAATGCCTTTTGCTTCGTCATCCAAGTCATAAGCAGGCAAAGCGCTCTTCTCTCCAGCTCTTGCATGCTTGAGCTCTGCTTATGCTTGCCAATAGAGCACAGCACTGTTGCTATCGTGTCGTGTGCTGTGGGATACAGTTGTTGCATTCATTCCTACATGTCCTTGCAAGGCTGGTAGCATTCATTGTGGCTCTTGTGTTATCTCCTGATACCCATATATAGTATCCCATTGCTACCGGTACCCTGCTCAGACAAGAGCAACCATTATCGAGAGGTCTACAAGGCTCACAAATCCAGCCTTGGACCGTGGCTTGCACCATCATTCTCCCAGAAAAAATAATGTGCAGTCCGGTCTCTGACATTCTGCAACTGGTGCTGGATCCGCCCAGTCGATCTCCCAGCCCCAGCCCTCCGTCTCGCATGGCTGCTATGCATATGGTGCTGCCCTCCATACATCCGCTGTCAGAACAAAAGAGGGTAACTTTTCGAAGCACACGAACGGAGGTACACATCGAGTCCTTGGCACTGCTGCCGGACGACAAGAAAGATGAACTATGGCACAAGGATACCGATATTGAGGCTTTCAAAGCACGCGAACGACTTCTCTGTGAGGAGATTCGGCTGGGCTTGTCGAACGAACAAAACACACGAGGTCTCGAACTGAGACTTTGTCAGGAACGGCAAAAGCGCAAGTACATGATAATACACGCCATCCTCAGAGCGCAAAAGCGCTACAAGGACCCCAAACAACTCTCCAACATTGCGCGAAAATGCAGTGTCTGGTCTAAAGCCATTGCCGCCATTACAGCTCAAAGGGACTACTGTGAGCTGTACGATCCTGCCCGATTGGCATCGATTACCCCGATTCCTCCCGTCGACAACTATCCCCTTCCCTTCAAGGCCCGAGAGCCAGTGGCCAAGATACCCGTCAAGCGGCCCATCAGCCCCACAATCCCGCAGCGCAATGTCCGTCCAAGGCCAGCGCCCCTGGCAACGACCTGCTAGGACTACCGTACACAATAACAACAACAACCACAACACATTCATTCATCAGACCGTCAGTACGGCCGGCAGGGCAAATGTTGCTTAGCAGCAACGAGATTGACTTCAATATGCAGCATCTATTGCTCGCGTCTCCTGGTCACCGTGCGGATTGGAACCATTCGGTGGGATACCGGTACGAGCCGCGTCTTTTTTTAAGCCGCTGGGATGCAATCATAACACTACTTTCCACCCCCCTTGGAGTGACCGTCACTGCGCAAGGTATCTTTATTTAAAAATACGAAAACTAAACGACTAAGAATTAGTTGTCCACAAACGCTTCGTTGTTTCGTCATTTGTAGCACGATTGACGTGGCCCTTGACTTTCAACGCGGCAGGTGCCGGAGACGAGTAAGTAGACCACTGGCAAGACAGGATAGAATTGGGAATGGCGCCGGGGTCTGCCGCGCAGCCACCTGTCTGTCCAGACCCTCGACTTCACACCCACGCAGCGGAAGGGACTCTGACTCGACTCGCCCGCTGAATTGGACTAAGCACGGCGTTTGTGTTGTTTTCGTCGCTGGACTCTCTCGAGAGCCCATCTGCTTCATCCACCTTGAGTCACGGAAAAGTACCGTACGTTGCATGTGAATGTCACCCTTCATTCGTCCAGCACTCCAGCATCATCCAGTTGGGGCATCACTGAGTCTGGTCTCCTCGAATTTTGTCTAGCTAGGCATCAACCCCAGCGAAGGTGATGACCACAGGATCGATTCGCTGCTACAGTTGAATGTGCACAGTGTATCACAATTTGGTAAAGTAGTTTGAAGTGCATTTGTTTCTCCTAGCTAAAAGTGAGAATTCAAGCAAGCATACCGTATTGCAGCACAGACAACTCTCTACGTTGATTGTGCCTTCTGGTCAATTTCCACATTGTCATCGCTTTCCCCATTACTCCCGCCATCTTCTGAAAGTATGAAATAGACCTCCTCAAGATCTTTGGGCTTCAGATGTTCCTCGTCCCCATCTTCATACCATACTGTGTAGTGCGAACCATCAAAAGACATAATTTCGCCCTGGAAGGCACGACTTCCAGCGAATAGCTGCAGGGTGGTCACTAGGCATCAGCAACAAGCGTGACGCAGTTTGGTCGACACGATGGAGACTGTCACTCACCTTGTAAAACCGCGCACCGACTGGATAGTAAGGACCCTCATCTTCACTTTGCTGTTCATGCTGTTCATGCTGTTCAAAGGTCTGACGTTGATTATTCCTGCATCCCTCTGCCATATTGCTGTCATGATTGTCATCGCTGCTTGCTTTTTTCTTGACCTTTTGACTCTGCAAGTTACAGTCCCAAAATCCAATTGAGTCAAGTTGAGCTCTCTGATGCGGCGGCAAAACTCCATTCCTTTCTCTCGTTTGTTGGGTTCGGCCCCAGCCATTGAGTGAATCATAGGCACCTGCTACCCTTGGAGGGAAAAAGCCATGCTGTGCTTTGTAAGCCGCAAACTTTTGTAGGTTTTCCTGCCAGAGCTCTTCACGGCTATTGGGAGAACTCTGGCTTTTCCCTTCTAGGCAACATTGGTTGACATGGCCACAACTCCTCTTCAAAGCACTGTAACCTCCCCGCAGCTCAACCCCAATTGAAAGAAGTTTCTCTGCAGGTTTAGTGGCAAGCTCACCATTTGGGGCCTTGTCTTTCTGATCGCATAACCCATACCCAAGACCTGTATTGCCGTAGCCACGAGGAATTTCAAGATGTCCATGTACGGCCTTGAATTGAATAACTCTTTTAAGTTGCTGGTTCCATGGAAGCTGACTTGCATCCCAAGTGAACCCAAGGTTGTCAAGAAGCCTTTTTCGCTCTGGGGGCATTTTGTTTTGCTGGAAACAGTTTCTCTGTGTGGAAACCCAGTGTCCAAGTTCACGGTCTTTCTTCTGGTGAGTGGGTACCATAGTGTGTCCATTTTCATTCCTGAACTTGACTAGGCGATTGTATTTCTCATACCAGTTTCGCTCATGAGCATCCCAAATGAATCCTATCTTGTCAAGAAGCCTTGTTCGTTTCCGAAGTAGTTGGTTTCTATGATAAGCAACCCTTTGGGCACTAACCCATCGTCCAAGTTCTTGGTCTTTCTTGTTTTGAATGGGTACAATAGTGTGTCCATTTTCATTCTTGAACTTGACTAGACGATTGTACTTCTCATACCAAGCACGCTCATATGGATTGCCGCCCCTGTAATTCACAGGAGTAGCCAGGTCATCTCCCTTCTTCATCTTGTCCATCTTCATAGTAGGGTGGCGCTTGGGGTGACTTTGTTTGTATTCAAAGCTTATATCATCCAACATTGATCTTTGCCACGGAGGGAACGTATTCTTCTTGGCCCTCCCACGCTGACACGTAACCCACGTGCCCAGTTCCTCTGCCCAAGGTTTCATCTCTTCACATTTGGTCCTTTGAGGGATTCTTGTGTGGCCAAATATTGATTTGAACACTATGAGCCGCTCGTATTGGGCTCTCCATAGTTTGTCCTTGTGTTGTTGACGTGTTTTAAAATCAAAACCAAGCTTCATCAGTCGCAACTTTTGATAGTGGGTTAAAGAGTCTTGATGAACACGTTGAGCATGGACCCACTGACCTAGCGCGGGGTCCTTCTCGTGGCCCATTGGAACCGCACAGTCACCATTTTTCTCATGGTATCGAGCCAAAGCCTGGAAGGACTCTTCCCATGATCGTTTCGTCTTGTGCTCATATGGAGATCCAGCTCCTTTGCTTTTGTATTGGTCTGCCATTATCCTGGATTGTCTTCCTTCATCAGCTTCTATTCAAGAGTCAGAGTGACAACCTGAACTTCGTGTTCTGGACTGTCGCAAAAGATCGCATAGGATCCGGATGCACAAAACTGGTCGAACCTGGACCCTTGCGTAATGTTTAGCCCTAACATTATCGATAAGGATCCCAAGAGAAACGGCAACTTGAGAAAGATCCACGACGTCGGATCTTCTTTCCCGTGCTTTGAAAAGGCGTCTACGTTGCTTCTGTTCTTCCTTTGAAGGTATACATGTACGCAATGAGCAGGAAAGCTAAGGTTGGCAGGAACATTTAAAAGTTTGTCCTTTTTCATTCCTTGTGAAGATGCTGCGTTTGGGATTTCTTACAACAGCTTTTCTGCACGAGCCACCGGTGGTTTTGAGGCGGCCTCCATATGCACAAATATTTGTGAGGACGGTGGAACAAACTCGATTGTTCAGCAGCAATGCCGAAGACAGCGGAACCGCGACTGTGGTTCTGCTTCGGCATGGTCAGAGCACTTTCAACTCGCTACCCACATTCACAGGTAAGCAAGGCTCTGATGGATCACAATAGGAAGAATCTTGCTCTGTTTTCGCTCATCCTGTTTTATGCCTTCTCCATTTTATTATTTTTTCAGGGTGGTGTGATCCACCACTCACGCCTCGAGGAGTGGAAGAAGCCATGGAGGCTGGGGCACTCTTGAAACAACGAGGGTTTCGCCAGTTCGATGTGGCGTTCACATCCACTCTTAGCCGAGCCATTAAGACTCTTGACCTGACATTGGAGGAAGCGGGATGTCTGTCGTCGACACCTGTAGAGAAAGCCCACCAGTTAAATGAGAGACACTATGGTGCGCTACAAGGAAAACGCAAGGATGATCCAGAGCTCATGGAAAAGTATGGAAAAGAGCTGGTAATGCATTGGCGCAGAGATTTCAAGGCATTACCACCACCCATGGATGAGACTCACGAATACTACGAGCCACCACCAGCTCCTCTGACTGGTAAGTATGAACTCGCCATCAATGGTTACTTTTCCAGACAAAAAACTTGGTGACATTTGGCTTCTGAACGTTTCCCCTTGTCACTCTTTGATCATGGCTATACCTGAACTGTTACAGAATCCCTGGAACAGTGCCAACATCGTGTGTTGGAATACTGGAAGGAAGCTATTGTCCCGGTGCTGCAACCAGAAAAGAAAATCCTACTTGTGGCACATTCCAATACTATCCGTGCTTTGGTGGCTCACTTGGACAAAGTGCCAGAAGAACAGGTCCCCAACATTCATATCCCCAACTCTGTGCCGTGTGTTTATCGCTTCTGCGGTGAACGTGGGACGCCTGTCTCGACTCGGCTGGAAAACGCGGCTGGTGGCACCCATGGCCATTGGCTCTTTTCGTGAGTTGTATCGTGTGACCTACGAGATAAGCTTGGAATTCAGATTGCAACTTTTTTTTGCTCACATTACTCAACCCTTCTCCCAGTTACCAAAATCAGGAACGACTACGGAGCAAAGTTGGCGGTACTGGTGTCTTCTTGCAATCAGTCTTTGATGCCTGGGATACCAATGGGGATGGAGTTCTGTCGCTGCAGGAAATAGAGGCAGGATTGAGACAAATAATGGGGGGAGAAGACATTGCGGTGAGTTTTATTGCCGCCAAGATCTTGGAGGAGATTGACATGGACGGCTCGGCCACTCTGTCACCGGAGGAATTCCGAGAATTTGGCTCTTCCGTGTATCAAAAGTACATGCCCGGTAAGTGGGTCAATATCACGTCCATCAAAGCACTATGGGCGTGTCGCTCACATAAGATCGCATGATTCTGCATCTCCCAGGATTCATGGACAGCGCCAGAGGAGCGCCCTAGACGAAGTGTGCTGAACGTTGGAGGTCGCAGATGAACCCTGGAAATCTAGTTTTGAGGCCCTAGATGAAAGTTCATTCCACCAGGCTCTGGAAGCAATGTGCATAGGAACGCGACAATCAATGAGAAGAATGGAAGTGTGAAATGCCACCAATTTTGCAGCTGGTCAGCGCCCACTTCAACACAAGGACGGCAGAGACGTTGATTGGCTGTAACGGTGCGTTGTCATGACCGTCATGACAAACAAGGCGAATAGATTGCCACCCACCCCAACGTGCCAGTCTCAAGCGAGCCCAATGGGGCCGCTGTGTCGAGAGCCATGCAATCTGTACAGCATGCATAATCTACAGACAAGGCCCATGATGCAAACTGAGGTATACGCATTGTGTCAAATGCTGTACAATAGACACTGTTCAATAATATCTGCCGTTCGACGTGCTCTCTGGAGCAGGATTATTCGTTATTAGGTTTGCTCAGGACCTTTCGTCTTCCAATACAAACGCATTAGCTTTCCGGTTGTCAATCATATGGTACTGCATGGACGATTTTCGTTCCAGGGTGTTGCTTTGCTTTGTCAGTGTCGTCCATTCCAGCATTGTTTTTCTTTTGTTGCGTCCAAGCACAAGGTTGTCAAATAAATGAAGCGCTAGTCTTTCTTTCCGGCTTGAGCCTCTTTCTCTTGCTGTAGTTTGGCAGCTTCTTCCTTTCCAATCACCTTGAGACCAGTTTCGTCTGTGATCTTAACAATCATTCCTCGATCTTCCATTTCCTTGTTGAGCAGAAGGGCTTGTGAGGCAGCCATGGAATCAGCCTTGTCGTAGAACCCTTTGATTTTTCCCAGTAGACCATCTCCTTCTTCTTCTTTTGGTTTTTCCTCCACCGCAGCCACCACGGTTGGCTCTTCGGTTACTGCTGCTGTTGCTGTTTCTTCTTTATCATCTTGAACAATGATTTCCGAGAGTGCCTCCATTCTCTTTTTCTCCTTGCCCGATCGTCGCTTCTTCTTGTTCCGTTTGGGTGCTTTTTGTTTTTCCTTTTTCTCGCGTCGTCGTTGCAGTTCTTCAAAAATCTTTTCGGCATTGATGCGTTTGGTATCGAGTTCGGCTTCGGCCATCAATCCCGCCCCGGCACCTCCCAGCAAGCAAATGCCACCTCCCAACTTGTTCATGAATAAGAATCCAGTAATGGGATTGGAGGCAACCCATGAAAATCCCGCATATGCGAGAGGATCGGTAATGTCTACTTCGGGGGGGATGGGTGAATTGCGGAGTTCGGTAATGAACGCATTGAAAAAGGCCAAGACAATTCCAATAAAGGCAATCAAGGCATACGTGGCGACGCGGGTCCCTCGTTCTTGTGCGGCAGGAGTGTTGGCTTCGGCCGCGTAGATTTCATCTCGTAGTTCCGGGGGGATTTTCGTGTCGTAGGGTTGAAAAATGGAAGACAAGGGACCTCGATTGTCATCTTCACTACTGGCCAATCTCAAGACAGTAGTACTGCAGGTTGTTCTGGTTTGGGTAGAAACACGAGAAAAGCAGGACAGCCGAGTGTTGGGACCACTGTGAATCCAAGCCTGAGAAGACAAGGATCTGGCGGAAAGAAAGAGCAGGAGAGAAAAGGGACGCATCATCCTCACGGTCAACAACTAACTAGACTACTAGTCTATGTTGGGGGGGCTTTCCGGATCTTTGGGAGTTTGTTTTCCTGTGGCTGGAAGGGGAAAGGAAGCGGTGTCAACAAGCTTTGAGAAAGCATGTCTGACGTTGGAGGACACGTCATTATCCTTAACCCCAAGCGTGTGCGAAAAGAGAGAAAAACGGCCAAGCTTCTGCGTTGCAAAGAAACATTCGAGCCAATTCCAAGACCACCAAACTGCATGACGAAGGTGCTGTTACGTTACCTTCCCCCCATTACAACACTACCACAGCAGGCAGCTAATCATTTATAGAAACAAGCATATCACTCGACTTGGAGAGCATCAAAATGTTACAACGAAAGGGTGTACCAAGGAGTCACAGCAATGCGAGTTATTTTCATAGCTCCCTCCTTCCCCTCACTGACAACCGCAAGACGGCTCCGGCTTCTGCCCGCCGAGGAAATAATAATGGTGTCGGTAATGGAACTTCGGGAAGTGTGGACGGCGGTTTTGCCAGTATCAGTCTGTCCACGGTGGGAAGAGCGGCCGCTCTGTTTGCCATTTCTATTGTCACAATCACCATTCTGAGGGTAGCCGTGTCGGGATCCAGTATTACGGAAGAACTGGAATTGGACGTGGCAGAGGGGGCTGTGGCTTTGAGTGCTGTGGGTGGTGGGCTGAGGAATAATAATTATTGGCAAACCATGGATGAACAAAAGCTACCACTCTCCGATTACCCTTCCATACAATACGCACTCGAAAATTCCGATATTGTGCTCCTCTATTTTGCGGCTTCGTGGTGTCCCATGAGCACTCCCATTACCAAACTGTTGGATGAAAAATTTGGAGATATTCTACTACATCCAGAGGGAACGGATGATGAAAGCACACGAAGTATCAACAATCAACGGAGAAGACCCATTTCACTGGTGTATGTGTCGTCCGATGAATCAGAAGTCAAAATGAAAGCTTATTCTCGAAAGAATTGGATTGATGTCCCTTTTCAATCCGAGGAAAGAACCACCTTGAAGAAACATTTCAAGGTGGCAGCCAAAAGAGAAATGGAAGTGCTCAACATGCCATCACGACTCTATGAAATTCCAGCCATTATCGTCGTCTCGGGAGAATCTCATAACGTCCTGACGACTCATGGAGTGGATGATCTCAGGGAAAAGGGATCCGAAGCTCTCATTCATTGGATCAAACTGCTTCATACTATCAAGGCGCTCGAAGACAAATACTGACAATCAACACTAGTTCTACCACTCATATCGTCGCAAAATGATAGCCAACAATTCGACCTGGCGACCTGGCTTGCAGCGGCATGATAATATCAGCTGCATGTGATTGGAGAAGCTTGGCTGCTGCTTGGGTCCACGTGGGAGAATCGGGGCTCATTCACCGTCAACGGCAATAACCACACCACTACTGCTGACGAGTTGTGCCAGTCTCTAGATCGGATGACTTGCTGCGGCATCTGATGCCAGAATGAATCCGAATGGGACACTAGAGGATTACAAGTACTGGGGTATCCTCCTTCTCTTTGAAACTTTTGCCCTGTAATGCGCGACTACCGGTATGGGGAACCCCAATGGAGAATTATCTGAACGCATACTTCTGCAGTTGCGGTACCGAGCAGAGCCACACTTGGCAGCCTTCCGACAATTCTGTGCAAAACACCGCATTTGATATCTAAAGATGTGTTACCGGTGGTGACTGGAGGGGAGAAAGCTAGCTAGCTATATAGAGCCATTCCGATTGAACGATAGATTCGATTTTCTGTGCTGGAACAACCAGCACAACGCAAAACCATATTTTTATGATAGTTGTTCCTCCAGCGATTCTCAAACTGTAACTGAAGCCAATTTATTAGTCGGTTTTGGACTCTGCTGCTTTCTCTGCCTCGGCAGTGGAGCCTTCCTTCTTGGATTCGGTGGGGGCAGCTGACCCAAACAACGGCTTGGCACCTGTACTGGCACCTCCCGTCGAAGCGCCAAATGCAGCAAAAGGTGACGTGCTGCTAGACGAACCTCCACCAAACACACCAAAGGGCGAATTTGCACTGGTTTGCCGAGTAGCTGGAGTTGGAAGAGTGATCGAGCCAGAACTCCCAAACTGAAATGTAGGCGGAGTTGCCGCTGCACCCGGCGGATTAATGTCCAGGAAAGCTCCGCTCCCCGGCTTCTCCTTGGTCGTTGCTTTGCCCCCGAAGGAGGTTCCTACCGGAATTGATGCAGCTGAACCGAATACCGTAGCAGCGCCGCCGCCAAACGGATTTGAGGATGAGCCAAAAGGAGCTCCGGCCCCCAACCCAGATGGTTTACCGAAGGCGATGCCTCCTGTGGCTGGAGCAGCAGCGGAAGCACCAGAAGTTTTGTTGGGGGCGGGTGCCTTGGAATCCTCCACTTGACCTTCCTGCACTTCGCCTTCTTCGTCGTCGTCATCCTTGTCTTCCTTATCCTTCATCACTTGGTCTTCCTTCTGTGTCGCTGGAGCCGGCGTACCAGCAGGGACAGGTGAAGAAGTACCGGCAGGAGCCTGCACCGGTACGGGCGATGACGCACGACCTGCCTCCTCCGTTACTACTTTGGGTTCCAATTTGATTTTCTTTTGGGCTGGTTCAACACTTTCTTCGGCCTGCTTGGCTTCGGCTTGCCGTTGCATTTCCTTCAATTCCTTCTTCTTTTGCATCTTCACCGCTAACAATCGCTTCTTCTCAAGTAGTTTCTGTTTCATAGCTTCGGCTTTCATCGTTCCAGAGTCCCTTCTCGGTGGAATAGTCTTCGCTTCAGCCGGCGCTGGAGCGGACGATTTAGGTGAAACAGGTGCCGTGCTTGCCGAGGCCGCAGATGTGGTGCTTGGACCGGGGCTTGGCGCGGGTGCATCATTTGTCTTTTCGGTCGTGGCAGCTGAGCTTGGGGCGACTTTCTTAGGCTGATCTTCCGTGGACAATGTCACCTTTGCCGCTGATGCAGGTGCCGTCGTTGCTTCTGCAGTTGTTGTTGTACTGGGCGTTTCGCTCGGGCCAAACTTGAAACCACCTGCAGGTGGGCGTAGCAGCTCGTCGCGAGTTGTTTTGGTGGTGGCAGTTTCCGTGGTTGGTTCTGGTTTGACCTCTGTCTCGTCGGTGGGCTTCGCTTTCGTTTGTGGCGTATCAGCGGATTGTGCAGGCTTGGCAGCTGCTGGAGCTGCTTCTTGGGGCGCCGGAGCTGGCGTTTCACTTGCAGCCTCAGCCGCCGCGGCCTGTTGTTGCCCACTTCGAGCTTCCTTCAAATCGGCTCGTAAATCTTTGATCATCTTTTGGAACTGTCTGAGCCTTTCGCGGAGTTTATTGTTCCTGTCATTGGCTCCGTTGAGTTCAGTCCTGACCGAGCTCAGCTCTTTCGCAGTACTGGCAACCTTCTCCTTTAGCTGGTCTCGTTCCGTAGAAACTTGTGAGTTCTTGGCATTTGTGAGGGCTTCCTTTTGGGTTGTCAGCTGCGCAAGCTTTGTTTTTTGTGTTTCATACAGTTTCTTTTGTTGCGAGACTTCCTTGTTTAGTCTGGTAGCAATGTTTCGCATGCGAGTACTCTCACTTTCGGCGCTCTCCTTCTCAGCCTTGTACTTGGAGACTTCCTTCTTCATCGATTCAACATTAGCGAGGGCTTCCTTGTGCTCCTCGGGGTCAACCTAACCATAAATAGAGTCGTTGAATAAGTCTGGACCACACAACTAAAATGTCACTTGTGCAGTTCGCTCCAGCTTTGCTTACCTGGTTGAATTTGGACACCAAGCTTTGCACTCTTCCCTTCCACGCGTCGACTTCACGCTGCAAGCTAGCCTTCTCCGCCTCTAGCGCAGCCTTCTCCGATTCCAGTTGTCGTTGGCGCTTTTCAGCTGGTAGGGCGGACTGCTTGGAATCGTCCAACTCTGTTCTCAACGCTTCCAATGATTTCTTCAACTTGTCTGCTTCATCACGCAACAGTTGATTGCTGTCTCGCAGAAGCGTCAGCTGATCCTCGGATGCCTGAAGCTTGGCAGTGAGCTCCTTGACATCGGGAGCTTCCGTTGTTGAGGTGGAGGCATTAGTCAACAGCTGTAGTTCGGCGCGGGCCTGATCGAGACTCCTCTTCGTGACAGCTCCAGCTGCCTTTTCCCTTTCGGATGTTCTCTTTGCAGCGTCGACCTGCGCTTGCATCATTTCCTTGTCCGAACGCAAGAACCTCACGACCTGGCGTAGTTCTGATATTGTCTTGTTGAGACCCTTAATCTCCTCATTCGTGGTCTCTTCCGTTTCACCCGTAGTGGATTCCCCGGCGGCTGCCTCGACCCTGGACATTTGGTTCTTCTCCGATAGTTCCCCGAGATCCTGAAGCTGGCCGTGAAGGATCTCGTTTTGCTTTTCCTTGTCTTGCAGCCGACTTTCAGCGCCTTCCAAAGCTTCTTGAAGAGAAGCCTTCTCTCGATCAAACTCCGATCGAAGACCATCTGATTCCTTCGTCAACGAGCCCAATTTCTCTTCGGAGGCAATCCTGTTACGTCGCTCTTCTTCCGCCTCGCTCCGGGCTTGTCGGAGCTCTGATCGCGCAGCGGCATGCTGGGCAAGCTCATGTTCGTAATTGTCCTGCAGCGAAACAAACAGCAATGTTATGAGCGACAAAACGTTTGGCCAAAGACGCACAAAAAGAATGACGGAACAACAAAACTCACCTGGGCTTTCTTTTCGCGCTCCTGCAATTTCTCCAAATCTATCTTGAGGCTGCCCACCTGGGCCCTGGCAAGATCCATATCCTTTTCCATGTTCTGCATTTCCTTCTTTTGACTCTCGACTTGGTTCTTCAAATCTTCCACGGTCTTGCTTTGCTCCCCGCGAACCTTCATAAGATCGTTCGTCAGTTCCGTCACCATTTCTTGCTTCGTTTTGCCTTCCTTCTTCGCTTCGGCGATGGTGGCATTGAGCTTTTCAATTTCTTTCTCTTGGGCCTTTCTGAATTCTTGAGTCGTCTTGGTCTGATCCGACAAATTAGCTTCACTCGTCTTGGCTACACGTTGATAGTTTTCCGATGCCTCCTTCTGGGTTGCCAACTCGGCCTTTGTAGCTTCCAGTTCTGACGTTAATGTCTTGATCTTTCCCTGGAGTGTCACGTCGATATCAGATGAATCGTCGGTCTCGCCATACTTCTTCCTGAGGGTATGAAGTTGCGAAGACAATGTAGCGCTCTTGTCTGTCAACTTTTGGATTTCTTGTTGCTTTGAAAGCACCTTCTTTTGCGCCTCGATAGATTCAATCTTTGCCGCATCGCAGCTGTTTCGTGCTTCGCGTTCGCGAGCTTCTACCTCATGGATCTTGGACGACAGAGTTTCAATTTCCGTAGCGTGTTTCGACTCTAGCTTTGCCAACTTGAGAGAAAGATTTTCGCATTCCTCCCTCCGATTTGCCGTCTCCTGGTCTTTCTTCGCTGCCAGACTCGCTTCGATTCGACGAACCGAGTCGAGCAATCCACCCTGTCGAGCAAGCTCGTTGCGTAGCTGGTTGTTGTCTTCGTTCATTCGCTTTTCGGCTGCTTTGACGGTTGCAACCTGGGTCTCGGCAAGTCGAAGCTTCTGCTCCAGCTGTAGATGGATTGAATAAAAATTGAGTGGTGAGACAAATCAATAGAGCAGACAAATTTTTGTGCACCAACTCAACTGCTTACCTGACGCTTCACACTGTCGAATTTTGAACAATCTGCATTGGCATTCGCCACGACATTCTGCAAATCGTTATTGATACGCTGGAGTTGATTCTTCGCATTGGTGACATGAGCAGTCTCTTCTCGAGCGCTCTTCAAAGAGTCTTCCATTCGAGTTGCTCGCTCGCTGTGAAAGTCGCACTCAGCCTTGGAACGGGCGGCATCCGCTTTAGCGGTTGATAGCTCGATGCGCAGCGCATCCACTTCCTTTGTCAGGCTCACAGCCACAGTTTCGTTTCGAGACAATCGTTCTGACAGCGCATCCTTGTCACGAGTAACTCGATCCAGTTCTCCTTTGGCACTGGCCAACTCGGTTTCAATTTGCTTGTTCTGCGTCTCGAGGGCTTTGGCTCTTTCAGATTGCCGTTTGGTCATCTCAATTGCAGTAACTTCGTCTTCTTCAGTTCCCAGAGCCTTGCTGTCGTGCTGCGACAGCAGCGCTCGATATAAATCACGCTGCTGAACTATTCCTGCCACGAGGCGCTCTTGCTGCTGCCGGTCTTCTCGTAGTGTTGACACCTGTTTCTCCGCCGCTTCCAGCTTTTGACGGAGTGAATCAGATCTCACTTTTTCCTCCAGTTCTTTCACCATGCCTGTCAAACGCTTGTGTTCCCCTAACAAGCGCTGATTCTGGCTCTGCATTTCTTCAATCGACGTTGGTATCGCTCCATTCTGTACTTCGACTCCGGAGCGACTCACCAACAAGGTTTGCACTTGCTTGGCCAGCTCCGTGGTCTGATGCTCCAGCCCATGGTTCCTTTTCTGGACTTGAGACAGTTCCATCCTCAAGTCACGTGCCTCAGCCCGATACACAGTGACCTCTTCCATGGCATGATCCAGGCGCTTTTGGTATTCGTCCTGTCGTTGCATTGCAAACTCATATTCTTGCCTTTGACGAATCAACACCGGTGCCTTGGCTTCGATCTCCGCTTGGATCCGTTCAAAGCGCAATTCCACCTTCTTGCGACGAGTTTTCTCGTTGGCAAGTTCGTTGCGAGCCTCTGTCAAACGACCCGCCAAATCAGTCAAGCTGATTGGTTCATCATCATCATCTGCACGGCCATCCGTAATAGCTAACGGAGTGGTGCTGCTGCTGGCTCGGCTGGTTGGAAGTGCCAAGAATCGATCCTCGACTTCAACTCGTCGACGGTTGGCTTCTCGAAGCTGCCCAGAAATATCCTCCAACTGCGTTTCATACTTTGTGGATTGTTCCTCTAGAGCTTTTTTCATGTGTTCGGATTCTCGCTCGATGCGTTGTTGTCGTTCTTTTTGGGCTTCTTCCATTGCATCGTTTGCTTTGGCTTGAAGGCCTTCCATTTCGTTGACAAGATCGTCGTACTTTTTCTCGAGACGATCCATTTGTTCCTTCTGCAATTCGACAAGACGTCGCTCTGCTGTGAGCTCTTGTTCGGCAGTCTGAGCATCATCAGCATTTTGTTGTTTGGCCTGCATCAATTGTCTCGACAGTTGATCCACCTTGTTTTGGAGCTCTTGTTCTGTTCGCTCTAGGGATTTTACCCGAGCTGCCTCGGATTCCTTGGCTCGATTGGCCTGATCCAACTCATTCCGCAGCGTCACTGCTTCTGCGCCATGCGTCTGTTTGACTTTGGTGCACTCTTCCTGTTTGAGCTTCAATTCTTCCTCCAACCACTTGCCGTGAGCCGAAATAGAGTCAATTTCCGTCTGAAGACGTTGATTCTCGTGAAGCAATGGAGCAACTTCCGAATTGCTGAGTTTGCTCTTGACTTCCATTTCCGACAGGGATGCCTGAAGCTCCTTGTTTGCCCTTGTCTGACGACTGGGTGGGTGGAGCAAAGGTCCAAAATAAGCAGAAATCAACGACTGCATTGTGAGGTGTTTACAATGTATCCAAAATATAGAATATTTTTCTTTTACACTCACCTGATTTCTTCTCTCAACGAGTCGGATTCTGCCTCGACTCGATCATGGCGCTCCTTTTGAGCTTTCTGTTCTTCCTCGAGCGTCTCACGCGAAGTTGACGCCAAAGAGGCTTGTCGTTTGGCTTCAGCCAATTCCTTTTCCAAGCGCACTTTCTCTTCATTCAAGGAATCTAACTGCTCTCGAGACTCCTTCAGTTCGGAAGACTGCGTTTCCAGCTTCGACAGTGTGGTCTCATATTCCGACTGGAGGTCAGCGTGCTTTGACTCCAGATCGGCTACGACCGCCTCAGCGTTCATGGCATCGGCCTCTTGGCGTGCCGTTTCCTCCGCGTCCACTTCCATGGTCTCAGCTTGCTTTTCCTCTTCGTCCACGGCGGATCCTTCAGCGGCCATCGTGGACAACTACTAGCTAGCTTTGGCTGTCTTTGGAGGACAAACAGAACGCAATGCCAGTGATACGCCGTTGTCTGTCGCCTTCACAGAATCCTCCGTCTACGAAACTCCAATCACTCTCGGAGGTGACTTTCCTTCTCTCTCCTGCTAAAGGACGACAGTTATACAATCACAGACGAAGACCTCTGGTACTTGTCTGGTTGTGCTGCTAGTAATGTGCTTATTGTTTGTGGTGCCTACATGTATTGCTTTGCGCTTTTGGGTGTCGATCTGGATTCTTGATAAGGCAGCAGAGCAACCATTTCACTCCACGATCGGAGCTAGAAATCACAACGAGCCGCCAAACTAAAATCACGCACACTTCAGTTGTCGCCGACCTGGTACAGTACTGGTATCCCACCGATACACGCACTTTGTCTGGTTAACCAGGGGACGAACCGACCTGCAATGAAGGTGCAGCAAGAGACCATTTGGAGGTACTAAAATATGCTGATACAAATGGCAGCCGGAAGAATCAAAATGTGTTGCTAAAAAGTCAAGATGTTGGTGTAAAGGGTTGGGTTCAATCCCATCTTCTTTGATAGCATTGGCATTCAGTTTTAGATGGTGAGGTTTTGTTTTTCCTTTTCAGGGCAAGCTTTTGTAACTTTGGTTGGCGCCAGTTGTCCCTGCTCTACTACTAGGAGAACTACCTTCAAATGAGGTGAAACATGGATCAACCAGTACGGTAGGCTGCCAGTAGCTAAATAGGTTAGTTAGCAGCGTCTTCTACTGCCTTGTCTATAAAGTCAAATCAAATTTTGTCAGGCGCCACCGGTATCCCCAAGGGGGCTCGGGTAGCATCTCTGATGAACTGCTACCTCGTCTTTCCATGCAGAAAGGCAACACCAAACCTTTCGGAGAAAGACGGCTTTTTTGGGAGTCTTCCCCCAAGCTGCAGCGTTGCAAAAACACGCCCCGCACCGGTGGCCTAGCTTGACCTATTTCAGCTGAAATGGCACTAATCGTACGTATGCATAAGGCAAAGCTTTCATTGAAGACATCTGTCATCTCTTAACACATGCTTAGTTAGTCTAGCTAGGAGAGAGGAAAACCTCAAAGCCGCACCATGTCTTCTTTCCTGGTTTCAAGGTCCTCCCTCCGTCAACATCACCATCACCCGTGTGCTCAACGGCAGAAGTTGTAAAGGCAATTTGGACTGACGATTCAATGACGGAAGACGCGGAAAAGGAGTCCGAGTACGACAGAGAGCCACTCATGGATAGCAACGCCCTCGTTCGAGCCCTCCAAAGTCTCCACCATCGTTGGATGCGTGAGGCAGAGTTACGCTCCTGAATGGAGCGAAGGAGACGGATGCCCGCTCCATACTTCTTCATTGCTTGGTACAGCTTTCGTGCCAGTACCAAACGCCACCATCTTTGCAAAACAACTGACGACACGGAACACAAAATCTCGTGGCGGCGGTCAACCAGTTCCTTGAGCGTCTCTTTGATCAGTTGGGCTCTCTTTGCTGCAAAAAAATGGGTCCACAGAAATTCTTGGATTGCTAAAGCAGCTGCACGAGCTGCCAAGTATCGTTTTCTGCCAACGAAACTGCGATATCGAGACTGGATCGAAACAGCTGCGGAGCAACACTTCAAGTAGTGTGTCCTGTTGAGGAACCTGCGACATCGCGACTGTATCGAAATCGTGGCCTTGGCCTTATTCCGCTTCGAACGCCACTTCCGTTGAATATTTCTTGCGGCGTATTCTTTCCACTCCTCCACAACTCCTTGCCAGGCGTCGGAATCAACCAGAACTGGCGACAGATCACTGCCAGTACTGTTGTTGTCGCTGCCTTGACCTAAGCTGACAACGTCATCGTTAGACTGCAATTTCAGTTTTCCCAGCAAGTCCTCGACAATTTCAATCCCTTCACGGAACTTTTTCTCGGAATCTCCAATTCCTAGCTTGGTTTTCCACTTGGCCAATGCCCTTTTCCTACGAAAGCTGCGTTGGAGTGCAATGATCGCTTGGGTGTGCCTTCTGTGGGCAGCTTCTTGCTTAGCGCGTAACTGTTTGAAGACAGACCGAATCCCTGCAATCTGACACGCCACCGCAGCGCTTCTTGTCGTGTCAGTCAGAGCCCTCAGCCATATCTCTCGTGTGCTTCCAACGACCACACAAGCAAAACATCCCAAGTACAGCGCTGAACAGATTCGGAGCTGGGCATTGAATGTCTGGGGGAATGCCTGAAGGGCATTCTTTCCTGTGAGAATGTGCCGACTACATTGTGAGCGCCACATTCGCTGGATTTGAATAGCCGCACGGACGCGATTGGCTTGACGTTTCTTTCGAACGAGTCTTTGGATTTTTGTACTTGCTTTCCTCCGACGTCGATGGAGGTTCATGGCACTGCTGTGCTTCCACCATCTTTGAATCTGGATTGCTGCTTGCTCAAAGTAGGCCAAACGGGCAGTCGGAGTCTTCGTGAGGACTGACAAGCAAAGAGCAAGAAAGCTGGCGGACAACACGGTGCACTTCTTTAACGCCGCAGCCACTGAAAGGAGTAGCAAGGAAAGTCCAAAGCTACTTCTGAAAACGTAGACTTGCCGAGGAGGGATTCCATATTGCCAGATCAATGCATTAGTTTGCGGCCCAGAGCAAAAACACGCCGTCAGCAGATCTCTAAGGCATTTTTTGAACACGCCCTCCAATTCCAAAACAGAGAAATTCGGAAGCACTAAGCCACGCGCATGGTCAAAGTGGAATGCCACTTCTCTGCTCAGCACCCTTTGCGTCCATGTTGAGTTGGAAAACTGAAAGCAGGAAGGGGCTACAGCGGTGCGGGTTTTCAAAGTGGTGCAACCGCGTCCAAATCTTGATCGATGATCGCCTCCCCAGAGCATTACCAAAGCCTGCTGCATCAAAACCAAGATGCCTCGAGTATCATCTGGACTCGCTGAGAGAGCAGGCCCGGATGGGGCTGACGCGGACGGTACTGGTTGGTGGATGAGATGGGCAAAGGTCTGAGGTTCAAACATTCTCTGCAGTCCGGGCGACGTCGATCGGGAAGCGATGACTATGTCCGACACAGAGTGCATTCCACCGTCCACGGTCCCTTGGGAGAGAACACGCAGCACGCAGTAAAGATGCCGTAAGATCATCCACGACGATAGTTGAGTACCGTTTTCAGATCTCGACCCAATCTGCTGAAAGAAGGGGATATACCTCGGATCAGGGTCTCTAGAAGGACACCGATGACGCCACAGTCTGAACACCACTTGGATAAGGAGTGTTGCTTGCTTTGTTCGTTGGTACCTTTGCCAGGCCACAAAACTTCTGGAAATTTTCTGGATTTCTACTGCCTTTTCCCATTTCCTCGTCATGGCAGCTCTTGCCAGGTGCTGCAGTTGCACCAACCCGTCGAGGCATAGCTTAAATTCCCTCCTGCAAGCGCGCATTCGAACGCTAGTCTGAAGAACTGTGAAGCCAGCCTTCGCCTTTCGATATCGCACCTGCGAAACCCAGCGACGCCAGCAGCATTGAACGAGTTCGCTGGCAGCCTTCCGAGTTCTGAAAAGCACCCTTGGGACTCGTCCTCGCCACCAAGACTGCAAATGAACGATCAACCTCCTCTGAAAGAGAAACTGTTTTCGACTGTAAGAGCATCTCCACAGCCTCTGGATAGTGGAAACCGCTGCGGTGGCGCTCAAATACTGTCGACGGCACACCACTCGGCGCCAGGCTCGTTGCAAAGCAATGGTGCTCTCGAGTTTCAGGCTGTAACACCGTCTCCAGGCGGACTGGAATTGTCGCACACGGTCCAAGTGTTGTAGGTACGTTTTTTGGCCGGAGAATGAGCGCCATTGGCGCTGAAGAGTCGTGGCACTCGTTCGCGCACGAGAAAGCGTCTGCTGGCACCGAACTCTACGCCAACAACTTTGGACCTTTGTGGCCGCCTGCATCCTCAGCCAGAAGAATTTCTTCCATTTAACCTGAAAAATGCAAATTCCAAAACAGAACTGTGTGTATCTCATTCTCATCTTCAACAAACCTCCAAGTGAGCTCAAGCTGGATGTCCATCACAAGTTGTTATATTGGTTTAACTTACCACAACCCTTCTTATTTGGCGCTGGAGTAGAATGGCTGCATCTTCTCTTTCTGAGAAAATGTCTTTCCATCTTCTCTGCAAGATAATCATTCCAGAAAATATACATTGGTATCTGCTCCTTTCCCTGAATCCTCTCAATTTTGCCTGCAAATGGATGGTGGTTCGACACAGCTCATGGAAGTTAGATACACATGAAACCTTTCTTGCCCAGCTTTGGATTGCTGTGGCAGCAATTGCTTTGGCCATGAACAATTTCTTCCGTCTTCTTTGAAGCAAAACAAATCCAGCAATTGCTGTCTTGTAGGCCAGCCTATCCCGAGACCCTCTCCATTGCTTCTGCAGTTGGACAGCTGCATGGCACAGTTGGTGGAATGCTGTTTGACAGGCAATCTTCCTTCTGTAAGCTTGAATCACTACAACCGCTATGGTTCTTTTTAAGAGTAGCCTTCGCCACCTCCTCTGGAGAAAAATGGTGCCAGCACGGACTCTCTTGTAATGTAGGCTACTCTGTAATGCTCTCCAGCAAGCCTGTATCTGGATTGCAGCACAGCACTGCCGGCTGAACTTCATATGAAATGCAACTTTTCTTGCCCAGCTCTGGATTGTTGTAGCAGCAATGCACCTCCTTGAAGTCCTCCTTGAGAACACTTCACTCCATCTTCTTTGCAGGGGAACAATCCCAGCAACAAGCTTCTGATAGGCACACCTATCCCTTGCACCTCTCGCATGTGCCTGGATATGAATGGCACAGCCACATATCTGTTGGAAGTTCGACTGGCACACTGTCATTCTGAAGATGCTCTGGAGAATTGTGACAGCCACAACTCTGCAAGAGAGCACCCTCTTCCATCTCTTCTGTAGTGAAGCAAAGCCAGAGATTGCCCGCTGATATTTGGCCCTCTCCCTGAATCCTCTGAAGTGTGCCTGTACCTGGACAACAGCATGGCACCACCGATTGAACTTGGTATGGCACTCAACTTTTCTTGCATGACTCTGGATTGTTATAGCAGCAATGCACCTTCTTGAGAACACATCACTCCATCTCTGTTGCAGGGAAACAATCCCTGCAAGAAACTTCTTGTAGACAAGCTGTTCCCTTAGTTCTCTCAGCTGTTCTTGCAGCTGTCTTTTTGCATGGAGCAATGTTCGATACTTCAATCGGCAGGATGTTGTTCTTGCAAAGCTCTGTAGCACTGTTGCAGACTCAGTTCTTGTTGAGAACTCTCTGTTCCATTTTCTTTGCAGGATCACAATTCCAGCAAGGGCATTCTGGTAGGCACACCTATCCCTTGCACCCCTCGCATGTGCCTGGATTCTAACCGCACAGCTACATAAGTGGTGGAAGTGTGATTGACACACTGCCATTCTAAAAGTGCTCTGAATAAGTGTGGCAGCCACAACTTTGCAAGAGAACACCCGCTTCCACATAATCTGCAGCGATGAAAATCCAGGGATGATCTGTTGGTATTTGGCCCTCACCCTGAATCCTCTGAAGTATGCCTGGAGATAAACAGTTCTGTGGCGTAGCCCATGGAAACTTGATTCGCACATTGTCTTTCTGGTAAAACTCTGAAGTCTTGTGGTAGCCTTGACTTTGGTTGAGAACACTCTCTTCCATTTTCTTTGCAGAATAACAATTCCAGCAAGAGCATTCTGGTAGGCACACCTATCCCTGGCACCTCTCACATGCGACTGGATTCTAATGGCACAGCCACATAAGTGGTGGAAGTCTGACTGACACACAGTCATTCTAAGGGTGCTCTGAATAAGTGTGGCAGCCACAACTCTGCAAGAGAACACCCGCTTCCACATAATCTGCAGGGATGAGAATCCAGGGATGATCTGTTGGTATTTGGCCCTCACCCTGAATCCTCTGAAGCATGCCTGGAGATGAATAGTTGTGTGGCGTAGCCCATGGAAACTTGATTCACACTTTGTTTTTCTGGTAAAACTCTGAAGTCTTGTGGCAGCCTTGACTTTGGTTGAGAACACTCTCTTCCATTTCCTTTGCAGCAATGCTAATCCAGAGATGATGCATTGATGTTTGGCCCTCTCCCTAGAGCCTCTGAAGTGTGCCTGCAGCAGGATACTGTTGTGGCGTAGTTGACGGAACTTTGACCTGCCACCAATCTTCCTGACGAGAGCTTGGATTGATGTGATGGCCTTGATTCTTTTGGAGAAGAGACAACTCCATCTCCTTTGCAAGACAACCATTCCAGAAAAGATGCAACAGTACCTATGTCTTTCCCTGTATCCCCTCAAGCGAGCCTGGAGATAGATAGCATTGTGTAACAACGCATGGAACTTTGTTACACAGAAAACCTTTCTCTTCCAGCTCTGGATTGATGTGGCAGCAATTGCTCTCATCAGGACCAGTTCTTTCCATCTTCTTTGCAGCAAAAGAAATCCAGCAATTGCGCTTTTGTAGATGAGCCGATTACTGACCCCCCTGAAGCAAGACTGGAGCTGGATGGTGCCACGGCACAACCGAAGGTATTTTGACTGACAGACTACTTTTCGGGTGATGGCTTGGAGAATTATGCACGCCTTGGCTCTTCTTGCGAAAACCCTCTTCCACTGCTTTTGCACTATTGTTGCTCGAAGCAGCAGCTGCTTGTACTTGCGGCTATCCCTGAACCATCTCCAGCGAGCCTGAACCTTGACAGCACTCTGGCGACAATGGAGGAACTTTGATTGACAGGCTGCTGCTCTCACAGTCCGCTGGAGTACAACAGCCGCCTTGACTCTTTCAGAATAGACTCGCCGCCAGAATTTCTGCAGAATTCTTGCCCCAAAACAGTGCTGCTTGTACCCCTGCTGACCAAGAAACCCTCTCCAATGGGCCTGTAGTTTGACAGTACTGCTACGCATTGTCTCCAGCCTCTTCTGGCATGCGGCCTTTCTAACAAGTCTTTGGATCAATGTGGCAGCTTGCACTCTTCTCGCAAACCCTCTTTTCCAATGCTTTTGGAGTCCCATGATTCCTGACCGGGCATGTTTGTACCTCCGGCTATATCTAAAGCGTCTCAAATGAGCCTGGATCTTGACTGCACTGAACCTGGCTGTCTTGAATTTGATCTTGCAAACATTGACCAGATTCCATCGTCTCACAGAGTCTTGAAGTAGCCGGCAAGCACGTTGGCATGATAAGAAAGACGTTCGCTTGGTGTTCTTCCTCCAGTAGGACTGAATCTTCATTGCAGCCTTTGATCTCCGCTTCAACACCAATCTTGTGGAATCATCTCGCCAAGCTTGTTGTATTCGGGTTGATGACTTGATTGACTTGACATACAGACGTTGGTGGCGATGCCTACGATAAACCGACTGTATGATTGTCGCACAAATGATGCAGATCACATAGTTGAACCTTGTGTACGTGCACCGCCAGAACTTCTGTAAAACAGTTGCAGCTCTGTGCCTGCGAGTCATATGTTGGATGAAGACTGCCTGAATTTGGCGGGCGCTTGACCACTCGAGTTTTCTCTGCATTCTTTGTTTCCACCAACGTTGCATCCTTTGAGCAGCTGCAGTAATGATTTGCTTTTTCCTTGCTTTCCTTGCTGCTAGGAGACAATCGTGTTGATGCTGGATCTGTGACATCATGGAACGTAGCAGTTCATAGCTTTGTCTGCACTTTAGCATTCGCCACCAAGATGCCAAACTTGTGGCTGCCAACTCACGTCGATAGACCCGTCTGCACTTTAGCATTCGCCACCAAGATGCCAAACTTGTGGCTGCCAAGGCACGTCGATAGACCCGTCTGCACTTTAGCATTCGCCACCAAGATGCCAAACTTGTGGCTGCCAAGGCACGTCGATAGACCCGTCTGCACTTTAGCATTCGCCACCAAGATGCCAAACTTGTGGCTGCCAAGGCACGTCGATAGACCCGGCGACGTATGAGACACTGAAACCAAACAAAGGATGTGTTGATTCGCCAATAGACAAACACAAAAGGTCTTTTTCGTTGTAACCGCTGCAATCGAATTGTACTGCGACGCAAACGAAGAAACTTGCCTCGAGTGCCTTTTGTTCTCCAGTAATCTTGAATTCGTGCTGCGGCAAACTGCTTCTGGCGGTGAATGCATACGATGGCAAGCTGAAACATCACCAGTCCCTTCTTGACTTTTCTCAAGACTGATTGCGCATGCAGACGTCGCCAATGGCTCTGTAGGATCAATATAGATGCTCGATACTCAGCATATCGACTCCTGGCCATCATTCGACGAAAACATGATTGGATCAAAACTACCGAGTACGTCAACCTTCTTTCCCGGATCAATCTCCTGAACCGAATTCGAAGCAACGCCATCCCATGGCAAAGTTTGCTGTATGCCCCCTTGGAACTAATAGATCTGAACTTGGATTGGAGAGCAATGACTCCACGGAGACAGATTCTGAGCCGGTTCTGGCACCTCAAGCGGCGGCAATGAGTCTGCACAAGAACAGCCAAGTGAACCTGCTTTGCAACTAGCTGTCTGTTCCGAACAATTCGTTGCAGCAGAACGAGTCCATGGCATAGCTTGCGGTACCATGACCTAAACCTCCAAGCTGCCTGGACGAAAGCTACGGCATCTTTCTGCCTGCGAAAATGACGTCTACGGGCCACCATGAGCCAACTCTTTTGAATGGCAATGGCTGCTTGTTTCGCCCTTGCACGGGCCAAACTTCTTTGAACCGCTTGTTGAAGCACCTGGATTCCCCTGATCATCCGCTTGAATCTTTTACGAACGTAGAATGATCGCCAGCTTGCCTGAAATCTGATAAAACCATGTCGCTGTTGGTTGAACCTCCTCGTATCTACGAATCGCCGCCAGCTCCGCTGGAGCAATGTGGAAGCTCGAGTGTGTTGTGTGCTTAACTTCTGTAACTCGCTGAGGATCAATAGCAAGGCAAATCTATTCTGAAAGTTCTTGTACGCTCTCTGTGCACTTCTGGATCGCCTCCATGCTTGCACCCGAATTGCTGAACGACGCAGTAGGTTGAACTTGCTCGCACAGCTTTTGCAACGCCACGTATTCTGTATCAATGTTGCAGATTTGCATTGGTTTCTACGAAGCAAATGCCGCCTTGCCAGAGCCTGTAACGGGGGGAGGCCTCGTTGAAAGTTTTGATATTTCACCTGAGCACGTCGCATCCGACACAGCTTTTGCAGCAACATTGCTGACTTGCGTAGCTTTCGGTACAGGCACTGGGAGGTTTTACGGCGCCACTGCCGCTGGATGGACGCAGCCGATCGGAATTGGAGAGCCAGGCACTGCGTCCTCCTAACTCCTCGTTGCAAAGATGTCACTGCACTGAGCATCTTCTTGTAGCGACGAGCCGCTTGCCACCCAAGAAGCGACTTCTTTATGACAGAGGCGGCGAGGCGTTCCAAAGCATATGTCCTTTGACACAATTTCTGTCTAACGTGAGCCTGTATTCTGATCGCCGACTTGACCTTAATTTCTTGCCAGTACTCAGCTCGGGCCTTCAAGAAGTCAAGTCTCATGCGCAACCTCGTGTACTTTGAGTGACACAGATATCGACGAACTTGAGCCTGGAGTACAACAACAGCACTCAATGCTCTGAAGTAGCTCGACCGACATCTTCTGGCATATACAAGGGCCTGAAGTCGGGATGCGATTGTAACAGCCGCCGCCCTCGAGGCACAGAACTTCTTTGTACAGCTTTTTCGCCTCCAGTTGCTAGAGATGACTGTTGCAGCCCGATCTAGCTCGCGACGAATCTTCCTTCGCAACTTGATCTGTTGCATTAGGGCCAATCTCATCGCTCTTACTTGTATTCGATGGCGCCAAAAATTCTGAATCAAACTCGCTGCCGCTCTTTGAGCGCCGTGAGCAATTTTGATCCGAACCTTGCGTCTCGATCGGAACTGGTGTACTTTGTTTGCTTTTCGCTTCTTTGCCAGTAGATTCAAACCATGCTTTCGGCATAACAGTCGCCTGCCAAAGGCTTGTATTCGCAAGATTGCGAGCATCCGCTTCCTTTTCCGACATCTCCGTCGGTGGCAAGCCTGCAGCACTTGAACCCCCCACTGGAGTTTCAAAAAGGCTCTCCTTGCAAGGTATCCTCTCCAACGAGACTGAGCCTGAATCAAGCCGTACGTAAGGATCAAGAATTTCAGGCGTGCAATGTTGGATCTGTACCAGCTCTGCAGCACGACTGTTGATGCAACTTCGAGCGCTTTCTTCTGTTTGAGATACCTGAGCTCGCCTCGTGCAACACACATTCTCCAAGAGGTTTGGATTGTCAAAGCAGCAAGTCGCGCACATTCAAACTGTTTTCTTTGAATGTAGCGTCGGAATGTAGCCTCAATTCGAGTAGCACAGGCATGCTTTCTTCCAAGTCGCATTCTAGCAAAGCGCTGAATCTTGAGCACGGATGCTCTGATTTGGAGGAAGGCACGCCTGCTGCAAACACATCGAGCTACTTTCTGCATTGTGACAACTCGCTCACAAGTGAGAAGGAATTCTCTTCTTTGAAGAAATCCTCTGGAGCAGGCTTGAAGCTGGAATTCGAAGCGGAACGTTAGGTGGGGGGCTTACAGGATCCAGTGCAACTCTTGTTCCTCCTTTCTTACCTGAATGACGATGATTCGGAAAAGTGTGAAGTACGCCTCCAATCTCACTGATCTCCAAAACGCTTGGATGCGAACTATTGCTCTGAGTCTCTTGCCAGCCTCAGACCTTGCAACAAAGCTCCTGTACATTGCTTGAATTGCTTTGACAGACTTTCGTTTCCGGGTGAGATCATGGCTAGCAACACCCTGTCGTAGAAACGCCTGTATGCGGGTGGCCATTTCCCACTTGCGGTCTTCGAGCCATCGGTATGCACGCCAAGTTCGCTGGACGTAGATCGCTGCTCCTCTGTATATGTGGTAGGAGAAGCGAGTGTAGAAGCATCTCCACATCGCCTGGATTTTACGGGTTGCTTCAAGAGTCGCTTGATACTTGCCGAGTTCACGGTTTGCACGATATATTGCCTGGGCTGCCACTATACAGCGCCTATTCTCTTTGAACAGGCGCCTCTGGAATGCACGTCTCCAGACCTTTTGCAGGCAAAGAGCCGCCATGTTCTCACTGCGCACTCGGGCTTGAATCATTTTCCTGGGAAGACGTCGTTGTTTAGAATCGACTCGACTCGACAATCAAGTTGACTTTACGAACGATTTGGGTGGACATACCTTGTCTGAAATTGCAACATTTCTACTGCAGCAAGCAAATGATGATATCGAGTTTCTTCGCAGAACCTGCGCCATTCAGCCTGGATCTGAGATGCAGAAATGTTCGTCAAGAGAATGTAGCGTCTCTGTCTATCGTACGCTCGTTTCTGTTGACTCCCACGGAACCAGCTTGAGATAACTGTTGCCGCAAGCATCCACCTGTCAACCGTCCATCTCAAGAGCTTTCCGCGGCAAACACGCTGGATTTGGATGGCCCCCCTGCATTCGAGTTGCATTCGTTTTCTCACGAGGCGACCCCTCCAAAATCTCTGGGCATTCAATACGGAATAGTGGAAGTAGTTGTACCCCTGGTATGTACGGAATCGTCTAAATGCGCTCTGGATTGTGGTGGCACTAAGTGATCGGAAGATTTGGTTGTAGCTCTCGAATCTCCACCATCTTTGGATGAAAACGGCTTTCTCCTCCTCTCTTAGGATCCTCAAGACAATCAATCTTCGAGAAATTGACTGGAGGGCTATGGACGCACGTCGTAGCAACCTGAACCTTCGTTGGCCCAACACTGATCGCACCTTCGATTGAATGACAATGGCGGTTGACACCTGCTTCAAGAATTGCTTTCTTCGGAGGTAGCTTTTCCAACGAGATTGGATCTTTGTTGCGTCTTTATCAGCCGCTGCAAGCTGGTTTTGTCGGTGCGAGTTCCAAAAATACCTGAAGGCAATTCTGGCAGCCCAGTACTGGAAGACAATGCCTCTGACGAGCTCACCCCTGAAGAAAGCCTGGATCACCAAAGCAGCCTTGGCCTTGCGGTTTGCGAGCCACATACGAACCACAGTCTGGACGACCACAGCAGACAGCTTGTATCTCGAATAATGCACCACTGCCATCCGTCGCCTAACTTCCTTTTGTATGATTGTGGCCGCGTAGCGTTCGGCTGGAGCCCTTCGTCTTGTTAATGACCTTTCAAACAGAGACATTCGCGTTTCTTTTTGCGCTTGCTCGTACAAATGCTGATGAAGAGAAGCCTTGATAGCCAACTCGAAAAGCTTCTTTCGTGACATTGCTCCTGTTCGTCTTGTGAGCATAAGAGTCCCCGCGGCATGAACCGTTACGAATGTGTTCACGACCTCTCCAACGGCTAGCTCGAAGCTGATGTAGAGAATATTGTTCCATTCCACAAAGACCTCGCCCCCCTCTGTGGAGAATTTTTCACTTGCCCCAACACAGCCAATCTCACCGATTGCCTTCGAAACAGCAAGCACATGTGCCCGCCTCCGAAGTTGACGGTCTCGAGCTACCCTACCGTTGCTGCTCTCGACCAAGACATTGCAACGGAGTAACAGCCGCGCGACATAGTCGAGCTGTGACTGGTACATTCTCCAAGCGCTTTGAATCTTTGCACTCGCTGCGTTGATCTGTCCCCTCGTGGTCCGTGTAGTCCTCGAATACGCCAATACATTGCCATCGGTGAATTTGTCACCAGTGTAATATCGCTCTGCTGAGCGAGATCGACGATGGGTCTTGGCCACGTGTCGTCGCTGCGGAGATCGATGTCTCCCTCGAGATCTAACACTTTGTGTACCTTGAATTGTACTCTCTCGAAATGACTTAGGCATGCGCTTGCTCGATTTTTTGTTTCCTGTGGCCCTTTGGTCAATGCACTCTTTAGTCGTCGGAGTGGTAATGATGTTTGCAAGAGGAGGCTTTCGCCGCGATGACACCGACTGGACGCCCCCGCCACCTCTCACAGGCGACTTGTGAATAGCTCGACTTGGCGAGCTTTGACGAGGTTGAGGTGATTGCAATCGTTGCTTGATTGGCGAAGTTCTTGTTTGCCGACTCTTCAGCAAATTCGACCCAATTCCGCTTCGACATCTGCGGGCAGGTGCGAATCCTCGTCGTGGGGCTGGTGAAAGAGAGCGGGAAGGAGATTTCGGGGGTAGCATAGACCTTTGAAATTGGGGGAACGGGGACCCATGGTGCAGTGGAGGTGGTGTGGTAGGATGGAGCGGGGGAAGAGGGGAAACTGCAATGGGCATTCCAGGGTCTGGACATAGCTCCAGTGGGAATGATGGAGAAGGCAGAGGAAATGGGATCTCTGGATCGTCGTACTGATCGTGGAAAGAGTTGTCCCAAGATAGGGTTGATATCCCACTGCCATCGAATGAACACTGGGGGGATAGAAAGCTTTGACTGGATCTCGTATATTGTGTCCAAATCCGTTGAATTCTCGTTGCTGCCTGATGTCTTCTTCGTCTACCCAAGAACCTGCGAGCGCAACGTTGTATCTTTACTAGACACGTTTGGATCTTCTTGTAGCGTGATCTCTGAGCCCAACCGCGATACATGGACTGGATGGCAGCAGCGCTCTTGCGGGAACGTTCGATTACTTGGAACTTGCGCAGCGACTGGATTCGAGCAACCGTAGGTGACAACAGGTCCCTTCGTCGTCGAGTGTCGCTAGCATGTGCCGACCGTCGGTTCGCCTGCCTTCGTCTCAGAAACTTCCTTCTCGCAAGCCGCATTCGAAACCAGGATTGGATCAAAGTGGCAGCAACGTTGTACAGCTGCATGCACAGTGTATTGCGAATGGGTTGAATTGAATCCTGCTGGCTGCTGCGGAACGGAATCAAATCATTTGATGACCATTCGGCTCCGCACAGTATCGATAGTTGGTCATTGAGAGCCCCAACCCCACAGGTTTTCTCCCCGGTTTCAACCTCCCCACCAAACTTGAGTGATAAGTCGGTCCCACTTGTATGTCCCATGGCAAGACAGTCTCCACTACTGGGTGGTTGCTCCTTGCCGTCCCTGTTGGTCGAGAAGAGAACTATTTCTTGCTCGCGTTGGTCTTCTTGTGCTTCTTCGTTGACGTTGCTGATTGGTGAAACTCCTACCGGCTCCAAGCGTCGGCCTGCATTCCGTCGCAACTGCATTGATCTCGTTTCATTGAACTGCTGCCACAGCTCTTGATTTGGCATGGATATGAGGATTCTGCGGGTGAGATGGCTGAGACAGGTAGCATCTTCGTCGTCTCTTGCATCGACTTGCTCAAAGCCTTGATTGGGTTTGTTCGAGTCTGGCGTCATAGGTTCCGGGCCGGGTTTGGTCGTAGGGCTGTGAAACTGTACTTCCTCCTCTCCCTCTTCTTGCTCGTGCTTGACCCCGTCGGCTTTGTCCTCAGAGAAGGATCGTGCCATGGTAACCGTGGTGCCCAGACCGCTCCAGTGTCGAATCTTGGTGAGCGCTCGCAGTCGTTGAGACCGATTTGCTCTTCGTCGCTTAATGACAAATGTTGGTTTGTCAGCTTCAGATGCTGTATCATGTTCAGTTTGATGTTCTTCGGATGCTTCTTGGACCGACGACTCTTCCGCAGCGTTTGCTTGTGCACTCTTTCCTTCATTGTTTTCCGAGGCGGAATGCGAGGTTTCTTCTTCTTCCCCTTGGTTTTGCTCTTGTGTTTCTGCGATAAGCTGCGCTCCTCCCAACTGCACCTCCTGACCCTGATCCCTTTCGGATTGCAATTCCCCGTCTTGTACGAATACCACTTCCTCCTCTTCTTCTTCATCAGAAATGTGGTTCGACGATTCGTCCCTGTAACTCGACTCGTCCCTGTAGCCCGACCCGTCCCTGTAGCAGGACTCGTCGTCCCTGCAGCTCGACTCGTCCCTGTGTTTGAGTTTTGACAACTCTTCCCTGTGAGACAGCTCGTCCCTACATGCAGTATACTCTGTGGATTGCGAGCTGTCGTCGTGGGTATCCGTGGGGGCATCATCCGCATCCGCGTCAATGTCCGTATCCGGACCATCAGAGCTCGCACTACCGTCCACATCCATCTCCGCAGGGCTGTCAAGACTACGAATGGGCTTGATGATATCTTGTGCCAGCGACAGCTTGTTGATATTGTTGTTGTGGTTATTTCGGTTCGTCATGATGACAGGCGTGCTGGAACGCAACAGGTCGGATATGAGCGGGGGTGACGTGGGGGCATTTTTCTTCTTTTTCTTGCTGGTCAGCTTTGCTATTCTCTCAAACGGAGACTCTTGTTTTGGTTCTGGCTCCCGTTGTCGAGTGCAATTGGTATGATACGATCGTCTGCTACTCGATGAATATTCCGGTTCGGCCCACGCGTCTTCTTGGTCGTCTCGTGTTTCATCTTGGTATGTATTGGTTGTTCTTGTTGCCCGTGGTATTGGTGGCGTTGGTGCTGGTTTAGTGCGTGGCACTGGTTTCGGCGGCAATGATGCTGCTGCGGATGCTGTCGATTGATGATACTGATGTTGATGATTGTTATGATGATGATGATCGTTATGAAAATGTCGGTGAATCTTTTGTTTTTCCTGTGTCGCAAAGGCGTGTAGCTGTGACCATTTCCGCTCCAAATCTTCAATCTTGACTACTCTTGTTGCAGTGTTATTGTGCTGATGGAAGGGTGCTGCTTTCTTGGAAGTTCTGGTGGCAACGGTGGTAGCAACCGAGCTACTAAATGACGACCATTTCTTCTCCAAGTCACCAAACTTGTTGTACAGCGACCACTTCTTCTCCAGAGCATCAAACTTGTTGCAGAGAGACAAAGCTGGATTCCTGGTCGTAATGCTGCTTCCTCCAGTCCCAGTACTGGTCACACTGACATTGGAACTACTCCTGGTAATGGTGGACGTCACTGTACGAGTACCATCATCCCGACGAACGACAACGGGAGGAGCTACCAAGTGCATGATGGGATAGATAGATCTTATTCAATTCCCTCCCCACCCTGGTCGCCACCACTAGTACATGTAGCTACCTAGCCAGCTGTTGATGACCCTTGCCAGCACGATCGATAATTTGTTTGACAATGGGCAGTGTTCATGAGCTCACTTGGAGGGCAACAAGACGTCCGTTCCACTTTGGTGCTGTGGTCGTGGTGTCGCTCCTTGTCTAAACATTGTGAGGGAGTATGCCGTGGCGCCGGAATGGTTTTGGTGATTAAGGGGAGCTCCGCTACAATCCTCTAAGTAACACAATTCGGCGACCTTAGGCTTCGGGCAGCAAGCGGCTGGACATGCTTTCACACTTGCCTCCACTAAATCTGTTTGGACCGTTGTTTCGTCTCGACCTTGGCGTTGACTTCCAGAGAGCACCTCAAAAGCTGCGCCACCACCAATGTAGGCTCCTTTCGAGCACCCAACCAAGCTAGTGCACGAAAGAAGAAACAAAAAGTAAGTCAATGAGTTGAAGCCTCCAATGGTGGTACCGTACTATTTCATCCGCTCCCAGCCAAGTACCCAGGTTTTGCCTTGACTATCTCAAGAGCCATGCACAAGATCTTGCCTTCGAGACCTCTACAAGTGATTGCGTTCTTGTTAGCTTTGGGGTTTCTGATTCAGCATTTCAATGATAGTCTCTTAAGTGGTCCGGCATCTGATGTTGCTAGGCGCTCCATCACAGCTATTGAATCTCCAAAGTCAAACCGAGATCCTGCTGCGACCAATGCTACCAATGCAACCAGAAATAGCAACAGCAATAGTGATCAAGTCTCGACAAAGTCGTTCCCATCCTTTCAACATGGAGGCTTCATTGTTTTTCTACACATACCCAAGACTGGTGGCACTACCATTCGAAAAACATTTCAAAAGCTACCGGGAGTCACCTACATGTTCTCCAACAGAAGAGCCAAGTACGAAACACTGGTCCAGGAGGTTCATCAGAACTGGTTGACTAAAAGGAACAACGCTGACGGCAACAACAACAACAACAACAACAAGATCTCAAGAATAGGCATACTCGAAATACACGCCAGAAACAATCCCACATTGCTGGAAATCTGTTCGCAACTGCATCAATGGAGAGAAACAGCGGCGCAGAATCGAGTACCCTTTTTTGCGTTTACAATCCTTCGTGACCCAACATCTTTTGCAATTAGTTACTTTAACTACTATCATGGTATGCAATGGGAAAAGCGGCGATTCGAGTACTTACCAACAGAACAAATGACGGAAGAAAACTTTTTGAGGACCATGCACTTGTCACCACAGTGTTTGTTTTTGACACGTTCGGAACAAGCCTATCAAAGAAATCATCCAGAACTCCGGGTCAACCTGACCCAGAGCGAATGCGAAAGTGCCTATAAATGCTTGCAAGGCACTATGGATTGGATTGGTACCACAGAACGGCTCCACAATGAGACTATTCCGTTACTCAAAAACCTTCTTGTCACCAGTGGCGTGCCCACTACTGGCAAGAACCAAACAGGAACCACATCACAGCAAGGACAACGAACCAACGTCAAGGTGGAGAACGCTGGTCCCAGGATCTTTGGAAAGCACAATATTAGCAGCACCTCTTGGGAGCGGCTCGAGAGAATGACACGGTGGGACCAAGATATGTACCAAAAAGCGATAAAGGAGTACAAGTGTCAGAACAAATCTCAAGAACTTTTCTAAGGACTCATTATGCCTCTTCTTTCGCTGCTTAGTCTATGCGTGCATTGTACTTCTGCCTTCTGCCACATGAAAAAGTTGTTCCGATGCTGACTGGGCTCCTTTGGCTGTGGTAGGTAGCCTTGAGTGGTACCCGTATCATGTGCTGTCTGTGCAGAGCACGAGCACAGAGTGCACGTGGATAGCAACCTCCAGCTGTCAGGTACCTTAGCTTAGCCAATCAGTTGTGCGTAACGTCTGCTCCAGAGGATCTTGAATCTTTTGTGGCGATGGCGTTCGGTGTTGCGTCATCTTTGGTTGGCAGTGCGCAGCCATTGGTGGACGTTTTTGTACGTACATGTGCCGCAGTTCGAATTGAAAAAGCTATTCGGAAGACAGCATTGGCAATTAGGTAGATACGGTAAAACTATCTTTTGATTTAAATCTTCAGAGCAAACTACAACATTAACCTTATGGTTACCCCAACTAGATGTTACAGGGGCTTAGCTTTCCCCCTTGATTACATTTCTGTACGATGACGTCAGTGAGCGATAGTTTGAAGACATCAACGTCAGTTCGGATCGGTTGATTGGCACCTGATCTATTGGCACTCAGCCCCAGCTCTCGATGGATCAGATGAAAGACACCCCACAACCATCTGTGCAAAGGATACAAGTTGACGAGCAGCTGTTGTTGTTCAATTCCAATCAGTTTGATTGATTTTGCGTTCTGTTGCTTGCAGATTTGATTTGGAGTGAAGAGAAAGAGGAAAATTGTGGTAACCATGAGGATAATTCTCAACAGCATCGTGTTGGCAGCTCTTGCCGTGCCATCGACGGCATTTCAGATTGTCATGATGTCCAACTATTTGGACTCTTTGGGAGGCAATCAAAGGGTGAAGCAACCTGTTATTCCACCCCCACAACCGGTTGAGCCTGTCTCATTCCAGGCTCCAAGTGAACCAGAAGGAACTCCGATGGCACCGCCTCCAACAGCTGAGGTTCCCATCGAAGATGAACCCGTCATGAAAGCTATGAACGATTTGACACAGAATTTTGTCAAGAACGAAGAAGCAACACTATTGGCCTTGAAGGAAATCAGCACTTCGATGAGAATAATCGCTGAACAGGGAGGTATCGGGAAAAAATCAGCTCCTCCGCCACCGCCACCAGAGCCTGTAGCTGAAATTACACCAGAGCCAATAGTAGAAGTCCCGCCTGAACCAGTTCTTGAAGAGCCCCCGAAGCCCCCACCGATGGCTCCCGAGGCAGTGGTGCCCCCGCCTAGCCCCGTTGTCCCCCCACCGCCGCCGCCACCACCACCACCACCGCCACCATCGAAGACGTTGACTCCTGCAGAGCAAATTGCGTATGCATCATCAAGAACACCCCCGCCATTGCCCCCTAAACCTTTAACTGCAGAAACTCCCAAGGCAGTGCCACCCCCGCCGCCAAGGCCTGCCCCACCAGCAGCATTTGTGAGAGAATTGACTCCTGCCGAAAAAATCGCCTACTCCTCAAGGCCGCCTCTCCCGCCAGGTCCTGCACCTGCAGCCCCCCCTGTTCCTGCCGCTCCCCCAGCCGTATCGGCTGCTGTATCAGCTCCCAGCACAGGAGTTTCGGCCACTCCTGAAGCGAGCACAAGTGCACCTCCTGACGAGAGCAAAAGCAAATATTGGGCGTCCAGTTCCACTGAATCTTCTGCTGATGATACGCCTACTCCATCCTCAGAGGATGATAACCAGGCCATTCTTGGGAGTTTGCCACTTCTTATTACTGGTATTGGACTGCTTTATGCACTTGCCGGTAGCACCGAGAAGTCGATACAACTACCGAATTTCGAACAATATCTCCCAGGGCTTCCTCCACTGTCTTCGTTGAAGCTGCCTGAGTGGACCAGTAGCATCGGACAAGGAGCACTGGGTACACCATCTGACAGTGGAAGTGTGTCCGATGAGGGAGCACTGGTTACACCATCTGACAGTGGAAGTGTGTCCGATGAGGGAGCACTGGTTACTCCATCTGACAGTGGCAGTGTGTCCGATGAGGGAGCACTGGTTACACCCGATCTGGAATCCGATACGGTGGAGGTGCCAGAAGCTGCAGCCCCTGAAAGTCCTTCAGCCCCTGAGCCAGCCCTGGAGGCAACGCCTGTTCCAGAACCTGAAGTCACACCCGAACCTGTGCCCGAGCCAGAAGTAGCACCGGAACCTGCACCATTAGCCCCACCTGTCTCTGAAACGCCCCCAGCGCCCGAAACACCACCAGTGCCCGAGACTCCACCAGTGCCCGAGACTCCACCAGTGCCCGAAACACCACCAGTGCCCGAGACTCCACCGGTGGCCGAAACCCCGCCTTTGCCTGAAGCTCCACCACCGGCTGCCTTGGGAGGTGCAGCGGCTGGATTAGCGGGAGCAGCAACGGCGGCAGGGGCTGCTCCAGTCAAGTCCATCGGCTCAACGTTCTCCTATGACCCGCTCGCTGAAAACGGCCCATCATCTTGGTCGTTGCTTGAAATCGAAGGAAACGAATGCGGCGGGAAAAAACAAAGTCCCATCGCCATTGGAAAGACTGGTTGCAGTATTGGTGCAAACTACAAAATGGAGGTTAGTAAACGTTGTTCTTGTATCGGCTATTGTCAGAAATTCTCAGCCTCTATTTTATTTTTGTTCGCATGCGACAGACGGAAAGCAAATGCTCAGTGTCGGATTTGGAGTATGCTCTCGGAAGAGGCGGTCCAAAGGCGTCGTTCCCTAAACAATGCGGAGGCAGCACGCTTCAGATTCCAATGCTTGAGGGTGTGTATCAGGCGGTCCAATTCCATACCCATATTGGCTCTGAGCACGTGATCGGAGGAGAGAGGTACGGAGCGGAGCTTCATATTGTGCACAAGGAGCAGGGAGGGGACAAGTTCGCGGTTGTCGGTATCATGATCAACGGTGATAGCAAAGTTGACAACCCTTCGTTTGGAAGACTTTTGGATAAGTGGTCGGCAGTAGAGAAAAAAGTAGCTGCCAACTGTGATGGAGTGCAACTACCCACCAAGAACCGCCCAGTTGTGTCCGATTCCACTTTCAATGTTTACGATCTTGTGCCTCTCGGATCTTCATTCTATTACTATGACGGAAGTCTCACAACACCACCTTGTTCGGAAGTTGTTTGGTGGAATGTTGCAGATGTTCCTCTTTCAGTTTCTCCTGAGCAATACGACCGACTTGTGAAGATGACCACTTCATACACCGACCCGAATACATGTGAGTTGAAGACTGCAGCTTCTCCCTTGGACGGGTCTACAAATCGACCCATTGCGCAAGACATAAGTGGCCGAAGCGTGAAGCGTATCTGCCCTGTTGGCAGCATCGCCCCCACCGGGTCGGCTTCGGAAACGTTGGTTGCCATGGTAGATGTACAACCAGTCGTCCCAGAAGTCGCCGCAACACCTCCAGCACAAGGTGCCCTTGTCGCCAGTTCTAACCCAGCCGCAGACGACCCGGATTACGATCCGTACAGAGGACTTTAAGAGGCATACAGAAAGACAATTTGAATGTTCAGCATCGATGTCTGTTTGATTCCTTTCCGGCCTGCCGAGGGCGATTACGATCGTGGTGCGGGCAAACAAAAAGAACGGAAGGAATCCTCGTGGTAAAGTTAAGATGAAATAACGAAACAATGACAGCTATCCAGTAGAGAAAGAGGCTTCATGCGTGCATCTTGTTGGCGCGGAGACAACCTTCCAGTTCCAAAATAAAACAGGACGAGCAGAATGGTTGGTGGCAACAACGCTCAAGATCGGCTCCTGTTGAACCCTGCAACCAAAGATCCGATGGACAACCTCGCTCGTTCTCAAGGAACCTGCACCAAGCATCCGACTAACAGCTAGGAACAAGCCAATGGATAGCTCAACAAAGCAGGCAACCAAAGCAAGGGAGTTCTTTCTTTCTTCGATAATTACTATTTTCGAGCATTATACTATTCTGCGGTAATAATCCGTCATTCTTTTCCTCTTTCCATCAACAGCCACCACAAAGGAGACCAAACCAAACTAACTAAGCCATCAGAAACTTAGTTTCCACCACGGAGACGGAGAACCAAGTGGAGAGTGGACTCCTTCTGGATGTTGTAGTCGCTCAAGGTGCGGCCATCCTCCAACTGCTTTCCGGCAAAGATGAGACGCTGTTGATCAGGGGGAATTCCCTCCTTGTCCTGGATCTTGGTCTTGACATTGTCGATGGTGTCAGAGGGCTCGACATCAAGGGTGATGGTCTTACCAGTCAAAGTCTTGACAAAGATCTGCATACCACCACGGAGACGGAGAACCAAGTGGAGAGTAGACTCCTTCTGGATGTTGTAGTCGCTAAGGTGCGGCCATCCTCCAACTGCTTTCCGGCAAAGATGAGACGCTGTTGATCAGGGGGAATTCCCTCCTTGTCCTGGATCTTGGTCTTGACATTGTCAATGGTGTCAGAGGGCTCGACATCAAGGGTGATGGTCTTACCAGTCAAAGTCTTGACAAAGATCTGCATACCACCACGGAGACGGAGAACCAAGTGGAGAGTAGACTCCTTCTGGATGTTGTAGTCGCTCAAGGTGCGGCCATCCTCCAACTGCTTTCCGGCAAAGATGAGACGCTGTTGATCAGGCGGAATTCCCTCCTTGTCCTGGATCTTGGTCTTGACATTGTCAATGGTGTCAGAGGGCTCGACATCAAGGGTGATGGTCTTCCGTCAAGTCTTGACAAAGATCTGCATACCACACGGAGACGGAGAACCAAGTGGAGAGTGACTCCTTCTGGATGTTGTAGTCGCTCAAGGTGCGGCCATCCTCCAACTGCTTTCCGGCAAAGATAGACGCTGTTGATCAGGGGGAATTCCCTCCTTGTCCTGGATCTTGGTCTTGACATTGTCAATGGTGTCAGAGGGCTCGACATCAAGGGTGATGGTCTTTCCTGTCAAGGTCTTGACAAAGATCTGCATACCACCACGGAGACGGAGAACCAAGTGGAGAGTAGACTCCTTCTGGATGTTGTAGTCGCTCAAGGTGCGCCATCCTCCAACTGCTTTCCGGCAAAGATGAGACGCTGTTGATCAGGGGGAATTCCCTCCTTGTCCTGGATCTGGTCTTGACATTGTCAATGGTGTCGAGGGCCGACATCAAGGGTGATGGTCTTACCGTCAAAGTCTTGACAAAGATCTGCATCCACCACGGAGACGGAGACCAAGTGGAGAGTAGATCCTTCTGGATGTTGTAGTCGCTCAAGGTGCGGCCATCCTCCAACTGCTTTCCGGCAAAGATGAGACGCTGTTGATCAGGGGGAATTCCCTCCTTGTCCTGGATCTTGGTCTTGACATTGTCATGGTGTCCGAGGGCTCGACATCAAGGGTGATGGTCTTACCAGTCAAAGTCTTGACAAAGATCTGCATACCACCACGGAGACGGAGAACCAAGTGGAGAGTGGACTCCTTCTGGATGTTGTAGTCGCTCAAGGTGCGGCCATCCTCCAACTGCTTTCCGGCAAAGATGAGACGCTGTTGATCAGGGGAATTCCCTCCTTGTCCTGGATCTTGGTCTTGACATTGTCAATGGTGTCCGAGGGCTCGACATCAAGGGTGATGGTCTTTCCTGTCAAGGTCTTGACAAAGATCTGCATCCACCACGAGACGGAGAACCAAGTGGAGAGTGGACTCCTTCTGGATGTTGTAGTCGCTCAAGGTGCGGCCATCCTCCAACTGCTTTCCGGCAAAAGATGAGACGCTGTTGATCAGGGGGAATTCCCTCCTTGTCCTGGATCTTGGTCTTGACATTGTCAATGGTGTCCGAGGGCTCGACATCAAGGGTGATGGTCTTACCAGTCAAAGTCCTTGAACAAAAATCTGTGGAATCAAAAGGAAAGGAAAATGGGAGCGTGAGAAAAGATTTTGTGTCGTGCTTTCAGAATAATTTTGCCGGCGTTGATTGTCCAAGAGGGCGAGGTGTTCATGATGGCGAAATGAGGAGCAGAACCGAGCGGACAAACGACAATGCCAAGTCTTTGTTGGCGTGTGTTGTTGTTATTGTCCTTGTTGGCGTGTGTTGTTGCTGCGGCGGAGGCCATTGTTCGCCATCACGGTCATCGCCAATCGTATCCATACTCAAACGCAAAGATGACCGTTGATTGGAATTCCGCTCGTCCGCTCTTTCCTCCACCACCGCCCTCCGCCAGAATCAACAAGAGATCGACGAGCCGAACAGTTTCGTGTTGCGTTGCTTACCTGCATGGTTGGTAAATGTTAAAAAGATAAAGCTTTCTTAGAGTGTATTTCGACCAGTTGCGTTCAAAGTCGCTGAGATCGAATTTATGTCAAAGAGTGCTTTGGAATTCAAAGCTCTTGCTTCAGGTTTTCCACCTGTTGCCTGTCAAAGAACATTGCCAGGCTGCGTGGAAGAATACCAAGTCCTACACAGACGTTGGCATGCACGAAACTCCGCCAATGAGATTCATTCCCAAGCTTGGCCGGCGTGCTACACGGAAAAGAAAAGAAAAAGAGACGGGACTAAGGGTTCTTGTCGTGCAACGGACCAATAAGCTGGCTAATTTAGTTGGCCTTGAGTCGAGTGACAGTCGAGTCGAGTCCTTAATCAAGCGAGTCGAGTCCGAGTGGAATCGAGTCGGGTCGGGTCGGGTCGTGTGGACTATTTTTAACGCTACTGTATTTGCCTTTTTGGTCCACTCCCACACCGGATAACTTTTAAGCGCTTCTGTTCTGGCATCCAAGACGATGATATCGGGCTCCCCCTCACCCCATCAAGCCCATCAATGAACATAAAACTACCAGATACCGCAACGGTACCCAACGATGACAATTTGTACAGTAGGCAGATGGTTGATTCAATTCGACTCAAATTCGAGAAGAAACGCCGAAAGAAACGCCGAAAGAAACGCTCTCTTTGTTGTAGGACAGATGACAGCCCCAAAGAAACCATCCATGATGCACGGGAAACGAGCCGATAGAGATCGTTGGTTAATGTGGGGATGACATCTACTCTCTAATATCGACTCATTATTTGGTCAAGACAACACTTGAAAGACAACACTTGAAAGACCACCTCCAACACATTTTTCGTTCAGTTTATACAATGACCATGTTCCATCCAAGGAGTTGCTGGAAGGCACTCCCGCTGCTTTGCTTGCTCCTTCTCGCGCCCATGAAGCGAACTAATGCTGAATTTGTGGAATCCAATGGAGCTTCTGTCGTTGCACTGGGCATGTCACTTGAAGTGATGGTGTTGTTGGTTCCGTGCTGAAGGGTCCTTGGGTGCGGTTTGCGCCGGGTGCCAGACTCTGTTTTGCACTGGGAGACTGAGTGGCGTTGGAACTGGGAGATTCACTGCTTGGAGGGGCAGTCCCTGAAGCTGAAGTCGTGGCTCCTGTTGGAAAAGCTGTGGTTGGTTTTGGCGCGAGACAGCATCCCTGACAACTGTACCCCTCTTCTTGCAGGTAAACACTGATTGCATCCTGCTGCTCATACCAGACTTTGAGTGCCTCAAGCTTTTTAAAACCATTGACCTCAACATCAAAGCCTCCACAGTGCTCTTCACATGAGACAAGAAAGACTCCATTCTGATCACTGCCCATAGACTGATTCTTGGTGACATCAAGCACGGTTTGCTTGACAAGGGCACCAAACTTTTCGATTGCCTCCACATTGCCATTGCTGAGTTTTACTGCTCCCCGGCCCCAATCATCATACAGAGACTGCATGACAAAGACAGGAGTTTCAATGTGTTGGACAATGTTTTCAGCATAGACGCATTGAGATGTGTCGCTCTCGTGCTGGGTGCAACCTGATGGCAACATTGGCTGATGCAGCTCAATTCCATCTCTCATGAGATTTCCATAGGTGAGACTTGCTGTTTCATTGTAATCAATGAAGAATCCGGATTCAGGGGCACATACAACTTTGGCTTCAGGTGAATATTGCTGGATGGCATCTGCCCACCGATCGCAATGCAGGAGAGTTGACAAGCCACCAGCACTGCACCCTCCAACCACTACATCAGTAGCCATGCCCAGGTTGTGCTTGGCAAAGAGATCAGTCATTCCTGCTTGAAGAATATCAAACCCTCTAAGATGCAATTCAGTGGTGCCGTCATTCCCAATGATCGGATTGGCAATGGTGCCACTGAAAGAAAAGCCATCACAATAGCGAAAGTAGACCTTGTTCCAATCGTGCATCAGTGGGTTGACAGCAGGATCATCAGAGAAAAGAGCTTGGGCTTTGCGGAAGCTGGGCTTGTCATTGGATGTTGTTCCCCACTGGGTTTTAACTCGATTTGTGCATTGTCGAATGTCCTTGCACCAACCACCTCCTTGCATTTCAATGTACCACTTGTTCGAGGCAGCATCAGAAGTAGCAGCCGCATGGTAGTAGAGTCCTGGTGATCCATCAAGGCACTTTGCACCTTCATAGGCTTCCAGTGAAAAGCCTTGCATC